CCCTCGCGACTATCGAGTAGTTAGGAGATAGGCTAGGACCGCTGCGATGATTAGGCCGTCATGAAACCGTTAGATGAGGCACTCTACGCATAGATCATTCCCTTGTTGCAGAGGGGGTAGAGCAATCGTTGAATCGCCAAACAGCTAGCCATAGGGAAGAGTTCGGCCCATCAAGGCGATTGTAGAGTCTAGCCGCAATGACGTGCATCCTACGATGCCCTCAGCCGGTCGCCCTCGCTTAGTGACAGAGAGAGTTCGCCGCGGCATAGTTCGGTCGATTACCCTCGAGGAGGCAGAAATCTCCGCTCACGTGGCGAAAATCGTTGAGAAGCAGCACGGCATCACGTTGCATCCTAAGACATTGCGTAACGCTTTGAATGGGAGCCGACTTGTCGCAATCAAGCATCCCAAGAAGCCGCGACACTCTCGGAAAAACATACGCGATAGGCTGGAATGGGCGCGTGCCCACGCAGACTGGACGGTTGACGACTAGAAGCGAGTTTTCTGTGCGGATGAGACCAAGATCGGTCGTCTTGCATCCGACTGACTCTCATACGCCTGCGTTCACGAAGGGACTGCCCTCCAAAGACACCAAATCAAGCAGACCGTCAAACACGGGGGCGGTTGCTTGATAATTTACGACTGCATGTCGTAAAAGGGAGCGGGTTTCATGAGCAAAACATATGGTAGGGTGGACGGACTGCTCTCGCTGAGTATACTGCAGGACGATCTCAACAGTACGATTGAGCTTTACCAGCTTACACCCTCAAAAACTATCTTCCAGCACGACAACGACCCGAAGCACAAGTCGCGTATCGTACAAGAGTGGCTTTGAGAGTAAGATTCAGGGGTGCTAGAGTGGCCGTCTTCCTCACCCGACCTCAACCCAATGGAGCATTTATGGGCTCATCTCAAGAGGCAGCTGGCCAAGCCTCATAAGCCTCCCACTGGTATGCTGGACCTTTGGGAGCGGGTGCAGGAGAAATGGGAGAAGATCCCGGCGGATGTGTGCACCCACCTGGTGGAAAGCATGCCCAGGAGGGTGAGGGTGGTGTCTAAGGCGAAAGGGCGGTGGATTAGGTACTAGTTTGGGGTTGATATAACTTGCTGCTTGCGCCTGGCAATAATTGTCCACATGTACCAAGATTGTTATTTTCTAGTACTTGTTGTAAACATCATTATACTTGTGTGATGAAAGGCATGGACGTGGAGCCTTACCCCAACCTACATACACTAGGCACACCAGAAGATTAAGGCTTAATGTCCATGACCCCCTAAAATGGCAAAATTCCTCTAAGTCACAAACATGTGGACAATACTTTCCGTCAGTGTATATATAATATATATATATATAATTTGACACACCCCCTAGGTTTAGTAGGCGCTAGCACACCACACACGCTACACCCCCAAGCCCTTGCACCCCCATGTCCTACAGCAGCTGCAGCTTCGACCCCTCGTGCAAAATGGCTACATCGGCGGCAACAGCGTCAGCGGCGGCTACGACGACGACATCGGCGGTGGCGATGGTGGGTGGCGGCGGAGTCACCTGCACCAGCAGCAGCGGCGGCGGCTTCGACGACGGCGGCGGTGGCCGCGAAGCCCGCGGCACCCGACGGCGTGGCACGGCCCATCGATGACGGGGAAGGGAGCCATCAGCTACGGCTGGGATGAGGGGAGATGCAGGGGAGGGGGTATGCCTTCAGCGAGGCACCGTGGCTGGCACGGCACGTGCTGGCGTGCGGGCTTGCTGGCTAGCGCCTAAACCAGCGAGCTGGCCGCAGCCGACTGTGCGATGGCGCATCGAAGCCGCCGCGGCAGCACGACGACGCCACGACAGCACGATGAGGCCGCTGCGGCAGCGCGGCGAGGCCGCCACGGCTGCGCGTCGAGGTCGCCGCGGTAGTGCACGGAGGCCGCCACGGCTGCTTGACGAGATCGCCGTGGCAGCGCGGCGAGGCGTCATGGCTGCACGTCAAGGTCGCCACGGCAGCGCGGCGAGGCCGCCACGGTTGCTCAAAAGTGAACGGAGGCAAGAGAGTACTCGGCGGAAGCGTTAACAGGAGGCTCAGCAGGATCTTCCTGCTCTGAAACCATGTTGAAAGGAGCTAAGAAGCTAGCGAGGCATGAGAATGGAGAGAGGTTTTAGCTAGGGGGAAAATTGACAAGAGAAGAGAGAGTTTGAATAGACAAGAGAGACAGGTACAAGAAGGGTATTGTACCCTCTACAGTAGGATCCACAATTGTAGCACACCTATCAAGCCTACACAAATACAGTGACGGAAACAATTGTCCGGATGTTTTGCATTAATTAGGGGTTTTTTAGCTTTCCGACCACTGTACATAAAGTCTTCATATTTCACACTGGATCTAACTTAGTGCCAAAAGATATGCAAAGAGTACATCCGGTCAATTATTTCCCAGGACAAAGAGCAAACTTATGAGCAGCATTTCTAGTACCTAGTCCACCGACACTTGGCATTGATCACCACCCGCACCCTCCTAAGCATGTAATCTACGAGGCTAGTGCAAACTTTTGCAGCGATCTTCTCGCACTCTTCCTGGACCCACGCTTTTACATAAGGGGTGAGCATTAGGAAAATTGCGAAGTATTTGAGCGTATGCAAGGGTATTGTGCACGATTTCATATTGAATGTTATCTCCGAGACTAGCCATGCTGAGGTATGGCCAAAGATGTCATAAGTTGATAAGTCCCTTCTTATCATGGATCGTCTTTGTCGTACTGTTTTATGGTAAAATTACGAGCAGAGTGGCGAAAACTAGCGTGTCTGCCGCGAAACTTACGGTAACATAGCACAGTCGTCTTGCACCCTTTGACTAATAGAATCACGCTAGGATCCGTAGGTCTCGTCACGGTGCAGCAGTCGGGACTATTCAGAACGAACATCCGGGTTGAGGTCTGGTTAGGAAAAGGGTCACTCCAGCGCAACATACTCATGCTTTCCAAGCCATTCTAAGCCATGTGTCCCGCCTAGGCTTGGAATGGCTTGGAGAGCATGATTTTGTAGCACTGAAGTGGCCCTCTTCCTCACCAGACCTCAACCCAAATATTCTTCCCCATCAGTCGGGGCTTCTTCGACTGGTGCACTATGACGAGACCCGTGGATTAGCGTGATTCTATTAGTCAAAGGGTGCAAGACGACCGTGCTATGTTACCGTAAGTTTCGCGGGAGACACGCTAGTTTTCGCCACTCTGCTCGTAATTTTACCATAAAACGGTAAGACGATGACGATCCATGATAAGATGGGACTAATCAATTTATGACATCTTTGGCCACGCCTCAGCGTGGCTAGTCTCAGAGATATCATTCAATCTGAAATCGTGTGCAATACACTTGCATACACTTAAATACTTCGTGATTTGCCTAGTGCTCACCCCCTTATGCAAAAGGGTGGGTCCAAGAAGATTGCGAGAAGATCCCTGTAAAGGTCTGCACTAATCTTGTAGATAACATGCCTAGGAGGATGCGGGTGGTGATAAAGGCCAAGTGTTGGTGGACAAGGTACTAGAAACGCTGCTCGGAAGTTTGCTCTTTGTCCTGGGAAATTATTGTCCGGATGACCTCGTTGTATATCTTATGGCACTAAGTTAGATCTAGTGTACTATTATGGATTTTAGCGGTGTTAACACATCCACTGTTTGCCCCTCCCAAAGCGTACCACGATTAAACATTAAGACTTTATGTACAATGGTCGGAAAGCCCAAAAACCCTACCTAATGCAAAACATTCGGACAATTGTTTCAGTCACTGTATATATATATAATATATAATTTGACAGCGTCACGATGCCTGCAGAACGCACTTACTTGAAGGTGACGTTGACGGTAGGGAAGCACTTCGGCAGCTTCCCTCTAGCAAATATGGCGCTGACTCGATGCAAACTTGGCGCCTGCTCATCGTAAGCATCCACTTTGTGGCATAGTTACATCAGGGTGTTAGGGTGTACTACGCCTCCACACCAGCATCCACATATTGACCCTACCACGCCAACTGCGCCTTGCTCTGCGAGGAAAATAATAATAATAAAAAAAAATTGAACCAACTCATCGCCATATCCTGTCACTACAGATCACTTCCAACGTGCCCAAAAAATCTCTGCCGATCCATTTTGCTGCTTTGTTGAGCGTGTTGGGGGATGGTGGGTGCATCTCACCAAGTTCTAATGTTTTTTTTTTTTCCTCCTGTATTTTACCCCAGGAGGCTTCCGTTGCACAAACTTGAATTTTGCTCCTCTCAACGACCTTGTTCTACGGACACATCGATTCCGAGGAGGAAGCGAAATCGGCGAAGCCATGTAAGAAATTACGGGTATAGGGTTACCATCCAAGCTTGTTTAGCACTTTCGTTAGTGCACAAGGAAACCACGTGACCTCGCCAGGAAATTGGTGCCTCATGCTTACGGGAGATTGCGTAACCTTGAGAGGGGGATTCCGATTCGAATCCTCTGCAATTCACCTACTTTGGTGGATTGCTCGTGGCATGGCATCGGCATTCCAAATGGCATGGGGCGGAGCCTGGGTGGTGGTTGCGTTACCCGAGATTCTGTGGGCAGGGGTGTGCGTTCTGCGGGCACAAGTATTCCATTTGGCTCGGATGGAAACGAACTGGTTTGGATACAATTTTCGGGCTGACCCAAATTCCAAACCAATACGTGCAAGTTTTGAAACCACGGGTGAGATTTCCAAGGGCGGAATCACGTTGTCACATGATCGAGTGGGTCGAGGAAAAGTTGCATCATCGATTGGTACAAGACGCTTTTATACTTTCAAGGTACATCAGGTAACCAGATTTATCCTATCCAAAGGGAATATGTCCTTCTAGAAATAGAATCACCCAGCGTAAAGCCACGCGATGCTATTAGCTTTAAGGGATTACGGCAGGATTACGCTAGATATAGCACGCCAGTAAATCCCGAGCCTGGTCTATGATATAATAATAATAATAGGAAAAACCAAAGGATGATGGAAAATGAGGAAAAGGAATCCAAATGAGAGGGGTAAGAGAGAGAGAGAGAGAGAGAGAGAGAGAGAGAGAGAGAGAGAGAGAGAGGGGGGGGGGGGGGGGGGGGGGGGGGGGGGGGGGGGGGGGGGGGGGGGGGGGGGGGGGAGAGAGAGAGAGAGGGAGAGAGAGAGGGGTAGAGAGACAGGTATAGAGAGAGAGCATGAGACGTATCGAGCAAGCGAGACTGGTAGAGAGCGAGCAAGAGAGGTATAGAGATTGAGAGAGAGAGAGAAAGAGAGAGAGAGAGAGAGAGAGAGAGAGAGAGAGAGAGAGAGAGAGAGAGAGAGAGAGAGAGAGAGAGAGAGAGAGGTAGAGAGAGAGAGAGAGAGAGGGAGAGAGGGAGAGAGAGAGAGAGAGAGAGAGAGAGAGAGAGAGAGAGAGTGAGAGAGAGAGAGAGAGAGAGAGAGAGAGGGGGGTAGAGAGACATGTATAGAGAGAGAGCATGAGACGTATCGAGCAAGCGAGACTGGTAGAGAGCGAGCAAGAGAGGTATAGAGATTGAGAGAGAGAGAGAGAGAGAGAGAGAGAGAGAGAGAGAGAGAGAGAGAGAGAGAGAGAGAGAGAGAGAGGGGTAAAGAGAGAGGGAGAAAGGTAGAGAGAGCACGAGATAGGTAGAAAGAAAGGTTGAGAGAGAGAGAGAGAGAGAGAGAGAGAGAGAGAGAGAGAGAGAGAGAGAGAGAGAGAGAGAGAGAAATCGAGAGAGAGGGAGAGAGAGAGAGTGAGGGAGAGATATAGAGAAGGGGAGCGAGAGAGGGAGGGGAGCAAAGAGAGCGAGAGAGGGAGAGGTATAGAGAGAGCTAGAGAGGGGTAGAAAGAGAGCGAAAGAGGGAGAGAGAGAGAGAAATCAATAATAATCCAAGCCTGGTCTGATCTAAACTCGTTTCGGGCAGCAAAAATCAATTATTTGATTGATCGTCACTAGGAGTGAATACGTGCCCTGGCATAATGTAAGGGCGAATTCTGGAGCTCGTGTCTGACACTAGTGTCAGACGAGAACACCCGCCTGACGCCTGTTTGACTGGAATCTCACGTTCAGGTGACAAACTTAGCAGCAGACGAGTGGCACGAGAAATTATCTGGATTTCGTCCGCCACGACTCGCAATGCCATACATTCATAGTTCGTTATCGCTTCATTTTCGCTTTTGCGTGACCGTCAGAATCACCACATCCGAGGTTGGGTCTGCAAATCCCCCAGCTCCTTTGGCCGCGGGTCAGCCTCGGGTCAGACCCGAGGTGCGGAATCTACTCTCTGTGCTGATTCCCGTCCAAAACTCGGGAAGGCTCGCGTGACGAGGCTTGGCTGCCCTGGGAGCTTTCAAAACCATGAAAACGCGCCATGTCAGCTGATGGCAAGCGAAATTGATTCCCCCACGAAGTTGACTGAAGGGGATGAAACCCCGAGAGGCCGAGAAGGACCCCATGGATGATTCGACTTGTTCTTGCCTTCTGCTTGTCCAACACGTAGGAGCCAGCTACTGTAGTCGACGTCCGGCGATTCTTAGGAACGTCCGAGAAACGGATTCCTAACGGGCTCTCTCAACTTGACGGACCAACCGCAGACCAAGCAGCCCTCCGTCCATTTTTTCGCAATTATCGCTGCTGCCTGTCCACGGGGTTGTCTCAGGGCTTCAGATTGGTTTTTCAGCCACTCGTCAAATCCGGGTTCCTACCAAAGCCACCCTTCAAAGTCTGTTTTCTGGCCAAACTTCCTCGAAACCTACGTTTACAGCCCGTTTTCGAGCCAGGAACGACCCATTATCCCCCGGGTACGAAGAAAACCGAATCCGTCAGAAAGGGAGTTCTAGTTACAACTGACCTGTTAAAGTATCGAAATCCGGATGATTACCCATAAAACATAGGCTCACCTTGTCATCACCGATTTCCAAAGACCAGATGTCTGTTTTCTTGCTTTCTCCGTTTCCCCTCTCCGATTGACGGCCAGACGGTGAGTTCAGCAAACGGACCACATAACCGAAGTGTCGACTCGAGTCAAGTGGAGTCCCTCCCACCTACACCAACGCGGTGATGGCGTCTACACCTTCCCCTCCTCTTCCTATTTCTTGGAGCCAACTCTCCCTCACACGCAGAGTTGCACTTCGCCAGCGAACAAGCTCCTCCACACTCAACACATATAGTTGTGCTCGGTGCCGTGCTTCAGGTAGTTCAGCTTTTCAAGAAGTCGTGTTCTCATCTCTACCCCTTTTACGTGTTCTGCACTCTAGAAAGATTTGTTCTTTAGGCCCTGCTTGTCTATAAGTCCGCACTCAGAACCGTCCAGGATGTCGAACAATCGGTCTTTCTTTCTACTGCTTGTGGTGATAGCAACTCTCTTGGTCCCTACTATCGCGTTCGTAAACGATTTACCTCCAGGTAACGCTTTAGCCGTTTAATCCTAGCTTCTCGTGTTCAGACTTCTCTTTTCACTCACACGATTCGCCTCTGGTGTAGTAGTGGTGCTAGTCTCTTCTGCTTACCCTAAATTTTAACCGGTCCGTTCACGGTCCTCTTTCACAGCCTACCGTCTTGTCTTTGCGAGTGCTAATCGTTCTTCTGAACTTGTCTTTTTTTTCCAATTCGTCAATCCTTGCAGTTTCCATGGCAGGGGATCAGCCGAAGTCTTGGCCAGACCTAGTTGGAATTCCCGGCACGGAGGCCCGCGAGAAGATTTTGGCTGAGGACCCGACGCTGCAAGTGGGGATCGTCAGGCCAGGCATGATGGTGACAATGGACTACCGCATGGACCGCGTGCGCATCTACGTGGATAAGGATGGCATTGTGCTCCGCCCTCCCACGCTCGGCTAGCTACCTCCAACGCATTGCTCGCTCGTCCACGTGGCGTTCGCCACTTGCTAGAATATATACTTAATGATGTTACCGTATGTGATGTGGCTGATAATGAGCCCTTTCTGGCGGGCTGTGTTTTACATCTGTTGATTTTAGTCCACTACGAATCCTAAGAGCACTAACCGTCATTAAACCACAATCAGGCTGTTTAAAGCCCAGGTCTCAAATTAGCAAGGTTGACCATCAAATCGGGCCCAGTTTGATGTGGTTCGGGTTGGTAACCCAATCCACCCTCACCCAGACCGGGAAAACGTCGAGGGGCTAACTGTCAAACACTTGTATCTCTCATGTTTGCATAGACTGTATAGGGTCATCTCTTAGAGAGTACAACCCTTAGACATATATCATTGTACCACTTGTTCTCTAATTCATTCGTTTCTTACTCTGAGATGGTATCAGGCGTAGGTTAGAATCCCCCACCTACCGCTTTCGCCCGTACCCTAGCTAGGCCCCGCCGCGCCCCCCCTGGGCCCCGTCGCACCTCCTAGCCCCGTCGTGCCACCTCCTGAGCCCGTCGCGCCTCCTAGCCCCGTCGCGCCCCTCCTGGGCCCGTCGCGCCTCCTAGCCCCGTCGCGCCCCTACTGGGCCCGTCGCGCCTCCTAGCCCCGTCGCGCCCCTCCTGGGCCCGTCGCGCCTCCTAGCCCCGTCGCGCCTCCTAGCCCCGTCGCGCCTCCTAGCCCCGTCGCGCCTCCTAGCCCCGTCGCGCCTCCTAGCCCCGTCGCGCCCCCCCCCCTGGGCCCCGTCGCGCCTCCTAGCCCTGTCGCGCCCCCCCCCTTGGGCCCCGTCGCGCCTCCTAGCCCCGTCGCGCCCCTCCTGGGTCCATCGCGCCTCCTAGCCCAGTCGCGCCCCTCCTGGACCCCGTCCCTCCTCCTGGCCCCGTCGCGCCCCTCCTGGGCCCCGTCGCGCCTCCTGGCCCCGTCGCGCCCCTCCTGGGCCCCGTCGCGCCCCTCCTGGGCTCCGCCGCGCCCTGCCTGGCCTTGCCGCGCCTGCCTGGCCCCGCCGCGCCTGCCTGACCCCACCGCGCCTGCCTGGCCCTGCCGTACCTGCCTGGCCCTTCGCGACTGCCTGGCTTCGCCGCGCCTCCCTGGCCTCGCCGCGCCTGCCTGGCCCCGCAGCGCCTTCCTGGCCCTACCGCGCCTGCCAGCCCCGCCACGCTCGTCCTACCGGCCCTCGCGCCCGTCCTAGCCGGCCTGGCGCCCGCCGCTACCTGCCCGCGCGCCCGTTCTGCCGGCCCCTGCGCGCGCCCTTCACGTCGACCTCCGGCCCCGTGCTCCCTTCCAACTGGACTGCCGCCGATCTGCGTGCGGCCCGCTTTTCATGCCTGCTACTGCACTGCAACCTCCCTGGTACGGTTCTTCATCACTTTTCACCGCACTATACCGCACTGCACCGTACTGCACCGCACTGCACCGTACTGCACCGCACTACATCACGCTGCACCGCACTGCACTGCACCGCACTGTACCGCACTGCACTGCCTCATCTGGCCCTGCCCTCTACTGTTCCTGATGGCGACGGAGCTTCGCTTCGATGCTGAGGGCCAGCCTTCGGAGTTCGAGGCGTGGCTAGCCGACCTCCGCCGCCACCTCACTGGTCAGCGGCAGGATGGCCACCCGCTCTCGGCCCACCTTGACGGTACGCTTCCTTGCCCAGACCCCCCTGCTGTGCTGCCCGCTGACCCCACCTCTGCTGAGTGCGAGTCTACTGCGGCCGCTGCCCTCGCTCGCTCTGTCTGGCCTTCCCGCGACGCTGTTGCACAGCTTGCCATTAGCAATGCCCTCCCCCCGCCTGAGCGCCCTCGCTTTAGGTCTATCACCACCGCCCAGGCTTTCTTAGATGCTGTCATCCGGCGCTATTCCGCCCCCCCTGCTGCCTCGATTGACCGCGTGATCCTGCCGATGCTCTTTCCTGACCTTGCGTCTTTCCCCACTGTCGCTGACCTGGCTGCCCACCTGCGCACGATAGATGAGACCTGGCGCACTGCCTGCACTGACGCACAGCTTAGAGCCCACCAGCCGCCCCTTACCTCTACCCTCTACCTGCTTGCCACCCGCCTCCCCGATCGCCTTGCCGCTGATCGTGACCACTTCCATAGCATTCACCCCGGTGACCTCACCCTCACAGACTTTGTAGACACCCATACTGTTATTAAGACCCGCCACCGCTCTATCGCCCAGGCGAGCGGTACTGTGCCGGTCCCTATCTTTCAGGGTTGTGCCCCCGCTCAGTGCACCTTCTCTGATGGTTCTGCTGCTGTGGCTGAGAGCGCCGCTGCAGCGCAGTTCCGTCCGGGGAAGGGCTGCCGCCCCAAGGCTGGGCGCGGCGGAGGAGGTGAGGGTTCAGGTGGAGGTGGAGGAGTTGGGTCGTCTGGTGGAGGAGCGGACGAGGGGACCCTGCCAGGTCCAGCTGAGCAGCTGCCCCAGCAGCAGCCGCAGCCGCACCAGCCGCAGCAGACGAGGCAGGCAAGTGCCCTCCCGCCCGGGTGGCCTGGCGGTGGTGGTGGTCGCGCGCGTGGTGGTGTGCCGGGTGGCGGTTCCGGAGGCGTGCGCTGTCAGTACCAGATCCAGACCGGTCCTCGCTGCGGCTTTGTTTGTGGTAAGATCGATCACGTCACTGCCCGCTGTTTTCGTCGCCTGGACGACATGTTTCGTCAGCGCTTCGGCCCGTCGCCTGACCTCCCGGACTGGCACAGTTTGCTTAGTCGTAGAGTTCAGATTTTTTGACATGGACATGGATGCCATTGTTTCTGCCCTGCATGTGATGTATGCTGATGACTCTAGTGTGCTCCCCTCTTATTACTCCTTGTCGCCTAGTCTAGGTGTGCCTAGCTTAGCTTCCCCTGCTGCATCAGGCGTAGGGGCTCCTGCTTTGTTTAGCCTTGGTGCTTCTACCGTCGCCCCGTCGCCGGACGCCACTGCTTCGCTTTCCTTCACCTTGAACTCTGGCGCTTCCTGGTGTTTCTTCCGCGACTCGACTACGCTGACGCCGCTTCCTGCTCCTGCTGCCGTTTCTCTTGCTGACCCCTCCGGCGGTCCCGTCGTCGCCCGCAGTTCCACCACCCTTCCCTGTCCGGCGGTTCCTTCGGGCTCTCTTACAGGTTTGCATATCCCCTCGTTCTCCAGGAACCTAGTTGGTGTTGGCTGTCTCCAAGACCTTGGCGTCACCACTACGTTCCCTGGTCACGAGCGGTATGCTGTCTGTACCGAGGCCGCCACAAGTGCCCCCCTGTCGACGTTCCCCCGGGACCCGGTGTCCGGCTGGGGCCCCCCCTCAGGTGGCTGCATCTTCCCAGGTTGCTGCTGCCTGCTCCTGTCGGTCCCTCACTCACCCGACTCTTCTGTAGCACCACCGCTTAGGTCACCCTGCGCTCCCGCGTCTACGTCACATGTCTCAGCACGGTCTCATCCTTGGTCTCCCCGGTTCGTTTCCCGCTTTTCCCTCCTCCCCTGCCCCACTGTGCACGCCTTGTGTCGAGGGTCGGCTTCGCCGTGCCCCTCACTCCTCCTCGTTTCCCCCTACCGCCGCGCCGCTGCAGACCCTGCACATGAACGTCTGGGATCCCGCCCCCGTCCATGGGCCGTGTCGAGAGCGCTACTTCCTAGTGCTTGTTGACGACTTCACTCGCTACACCACAGTCTTTCCCCGAGAGCAAAAGGCCAACGTGCATGACGCCCTCATCCCCTGGCTTGTCTCTGCCCGTGTCCACCGAGGTCTCCCTGTCTTGCGTCTTCACTCCGACCGTGGTGGCGAGTTTGCCTCAGGTGTCCTTGGTCGCTTCTGTCGTGCGGAGGGCATCACCCAGACGTTCACCCTGCCGGACTCCCCACAGCAGAATGGGGTCGCTGAGCGACGCATCGGTTTGGTCATGGAGGTGGCTCGCACCTCCATGATCCATGCCGGTGCACCCCATTTTCGGTGGCTGTTCGTCGTGCGCTACGCTGCTCACCAGCTTAACCTGTGGCCGCACCCCCAGCGGCCGCAGGTTTCGCCGACCCTTCTTTGGACCGGGTCTCCTGGTGACGCATCTACGTTCCACGTCTGGGGCTGCCTTGCTCACGTTCGTGCCTCTGGCACGGACAAGCTCACTGCCCGCACCCTTCCCTGTGTCTTCCTCGGTTTCCCCCTTGACGCGTCCGACTGGCACTTCTACCACCCGCCGTCTCACCGGTTCTTTCACTCCCGTGACGTCACCTTTGATGAGTCCGTCTCCTTCTACCGTCGCTTCCCCCACCGCGGTCCCCCTGTTACCCCCCCCCTGTTCCTGGTCACCCCTTCCCCGGTGGTCCCTGCCCCCCCCCCCTCCCCCTCCCCGTCCTGTCCCCTCTGTTGTGTCCCACGTTACCCCCGTCCCGTCAGTTGTCCCGGTCAAGGAGTCTTCTGACTCTGGTGGTCCTGCGGCGCAGTCCTCGCCGTCTGCCCCTCCCCCGGTGTATCCTCCTCCGCAGCCTCTGCAGCCGCCGTCGCCTCTGCTGTCGCAGCCGTCGTCTTCGCCACCGCCGCCGCCGCCGCACCCGTCGTTACCGCCGCCACCGCCGCCGCCGTCGCCGCAGCAGTTCGTCGACTCTGGGGGTGGTCCTGGTGGCCCTATGGGTGGTGCCGGTGCTCGAGTGGTTTCGGGCTCTGGGGGTGTTCTTTCTGGGGGTGCTGGAGTGGAGTGTCCCGGAGGTAGCCGCGGCGCAGCTTGCCGTCCCGGTGTCGGTGTTGTGCCGCCGTAGCCGCAGTCCCCGCCAGTGTCAGCCCATCGCCTGCTCGGCCTTCCGTCCCCTGACTCGGCGTCCGTTCCTCTCCTGCCGTCTCCTCCTCTTCCTGTCTACGACCCTGTGTTCCCTTCGCCGGACTCGTCCCCAGCTCGTCTTCCCCCTCGTTCCCCACTTCTGTCCCCCCCTCTGTCTCCTGACCCCACTCCTCCGTCGCACGTCTGGTCTCGCCGTCCCTCCCGCGCTTGTCCTGTCTCCCCTGTCCCGCGCTCTCACCCTATGTTGTTCCGGTCTCACGCGTCTCGCCCTCCCCTTCTACCGTCACCTCCTCCGTCCTCTCTCGTTATTGCGCCTCCTCCTCTGTCTAACTACCTTCGTGCCGCCCGTCCTCTTCTTCCTCGGGTCCTTGCCTCTCTCGTTACCGACCCGTCTATTCCTGTCTCGTGTCTTGACGCTCTTGCCGCTGCGGTCGCTGACTTCGCCTCTACCCGCCGCCTTGACTACGCCACCGCTCTGGTCTCTGACCCTGCTGGTCCTCCGTCTGTCGGGGGTGCTCCTGCCCTTGGCAGTGACGTCCTGAAGGACCGCCAGTTCGAGCTTGCTTTCCTGTCCTAGGCTGCTCCCCATCTCTGTTCCATGCTGCTAGTCCCTGAGGGTGACCCAGACGCTTTTGACATCCCGACCCCTCGCACTTACGCTGAGGCGACCTCGGAACCTTGGGCCTCTGAGTGGATAGCTGCCATGGAGCAGGAGATGGCATCTTGGAGATCCACCGGCACCTACGTCGACGCAGTTCCCCCACCTGGGGTGAACGTAGTCGATGGCCGCTGGCTCTTCAAGGTGAAGCGCCCTCCTGGAGAGCCGCCTGTGTTCAAGGCGCGCTACGTGGCTAGAGGTTTCAGTCAGCGTGAAGGGGTGGACTTCTTTCAGACCTTCGCCATGACCCCGAAGATGACTACTCTTCGGGTGCTGCTACACGTAGCTGCTCAGCGTGACTACGAGCTTCACTCCCTCGACTTCTCCACTGCGTTTCTTCAGGGCAGCCTACACGAGCAGGTCTACCTGCGTCGCCCTCAGGGTTTCACCGGCACCTTCCCTCCTGGGACCCAGTGGCTCCTGCGGCGTCCCATCTACGGCATGCGGCAGGCTCCCCGTGAGTGGCACGACACGCTGTGTGCTACCCTTGCTGACCTACAGTTCTTCCCGTCCTCTACAGACCCCTCGCTCTTCGTTCGTGCTGGCCAGACTCTGTTCTACATCCTTGTTTACGTAGACGACCTGGTCTTTGCCACAGCAGACAGGGACGCACTGGCCTCCGTGAAGGCAGAGCTGCTGAAGAGACACACCTGCACTGACCTTGGAGAGCTGCGCCGTTACCTTGGCTTGCAGATCTCCAGGGATAGAGCAGCGCGCACCATCACCTTGACTCAGTCACACTTGGTGCGCCAGGTCCTTCAGAGGTTCGGCCTTCAGTTCTCTTCGCCACAGCCCACCCCTCTGCCGGTAGACCACAGACTCTCCGCTCCAGTTGCTGAGGAGTCAGTAGAGCCCAGTGGTCCGTACGCAGAGTTGGTGGGTTGCCTCATGTACCTGATGACTTGCACTCGCCCAGATCTCGCATACCCTCTCAGCATCCTGGCTCGCTTTGTGGCCACAGGTAGACACCGACCGCAGCACTGGTCTGCCACTATGAGGGTCTTGCGTTATCTTGCAAGTACATCGAGCATGGGGTTAGTGCTAGGAGGGCGTAGGCCAGTGGTCCTTACTAGACACACAGATGCTTCTTGGGCAGACGACGCCGAGACCCTCAGGTCTTCTCAGGGCTACTGCTTTAGCCTTGGTTCAGGTGCCGTCTCGTGGAGAGCTACTCACTCCTCGTCTGTTGCCCAGTCTAGCTGTGAAGCCAATATCTATGTCGGTGCCATGGTGGCTCAGGAGCTCCGCTGGCTGACCTTCTTGCTCACTGACTTAGGTGAGCGGCCTAGCTCTGCCCCGGTCCTGTACGCTTGCAACAGGGCCATGATACTCCTGTGTCAGGAGCCTCAACTCGAGGGCAGAGCGAAGCATATCCAGCTGCGGTACTTCCTCCTTCGTGAGCTACAGCAACGCTGCCAGGCCCGCGTAGTACACTTGGCCTCAAGTGCCAACACAGCTGATATCTTTAGGAAGGTGCTCGCGCCTAAGGATTATCAGCGGCACTGTGTACAGCTCGGTCTAGTTCCTGTAGCCTCTCACTTGCTAGGGCCTTGACTTGTACTATTCTTTATATATATTTACTCAGACTGGACTTGTGTCCTCTCCCAGTGGCTGGACTAGTAGTGCCGCCCTGGCCTTGTTCTTGCCTTGTCTGTCTCCTTTTGACTGGTCTTTAGACCCTTGTCTCAGTGGCTGGACTAGTAGTACCGCCCTGAGCTGCTTGTTCAGGAACTTCCCCTATGCAGTCTAGGGGGTGTGTCAAACACTTGTATCTCTCATGTTTGCATAGACTGTATAGGGTCATCTCTTAGAGAGTACAACCCTTAGACATATATCATTGTACCACTTGTTCTCTAATTCATTCGTTTCTTACTCTGAGACTAACTACCCTTTTTCGCACAAGAACATGCCACCTCCCCTGCCAAACCAGCCAGCCCGCGACTGAAATAGCATGGGCCCAGTTTGATGGTAATTTGGGACAAGGAGGTAGATAGATCCCACAAGGTCCACCCATTTATGCCGGGGAGTAAGGAGCAAAGCGCGTACTTCCAGATATGGACGAAAAAGCCAAGACAAGTCTCAGGTGATGAAGTGACTCTCTCGCAAGTGAGGCATCAGAATATGGTTTAGGGCAGGGCCTCAGATTCGTTTTGGGGCACGCTGATCGCTCAGGGTCCCCCCCCCCTTACCTCACTGTTTTTTCAGGCCGCGCAAAGAAACTTACGCTGATCAATCAGGGTGTTGTAAAAATTTTGCGCTGAAAAAACAGAGTTACCTACAAAAAACACACTGTTCAACTAAATGCCCATTATTACTATCTTTTTAAAGACAAGGGTTTACAATTTAACATGGGCATACTAGGACCTACTTAAGCATCCTCCTCTGCCTGCACGCTGTCGTGGACTACAAGGGAATCGTCCTCCTTCTCTTTCCCCTTCCTACTCTTCTGGGCTCTGCTCTGTGGGGCAGTGCTGTAGGGCTTCCGCTTCTTGTAGGCTCTCCAGATGTCAATGATGGCATCCCAATCTGGGTCGTAGTCTAGCAGGCTCATACACATCAAGTCTCCAAGGTGTGAGTCCTTCATGCTGCCCCGCAGCCAGCTCTTGATCACATTCTAGCGGGAGAACCCTCGTTCACATTCCACTGTGCTCAGGGGAAGAACTGCTGTAGTGCACCACAGCTTGACGAGATTGGGGAAGCTATCCTCCCAGTCTGGAGACTTCAGCATGGTCGTCAAGCCGGTGTAGAAACCCTTGTCACCCTTTGGCAGGGCGGCAAGGACGGGGCAGAAATGGGGGATCTCCAGCACAGCCGCTCGCTTGTTGATGCCTGCCAGTAGGGGAAGGGTAGAAGGGAGAACGAGGAGAGTATTAGTACAGTAGGGTAGAGCAGACAACATCAACAAATAGTGCAAGCCTGGGGGTTAAAGACAGGTGAGATACCTGGAAGAATTTCTTCGGCTTCCCCTGCATGGTAGAGGTCGACCATCATCCCGAACCACTCCATACATTGGGCCTTCCGTGGAGCACGTTCCCACCCCTTCGGCCACTGGTCCGCACAGAACAGCATTGAACCACCCAGCTGCTTCAAGTCCCCCAGCCGCTCGTCCAGGTTCTGCACCATGCCTTCGGCCAGCGCCATGCATGCCACGACACAGTCGTCGTGCTTGCCCTCACCCGGGTAGCCATCCAATGGCTCCTCATGCAGGTCGAAGGTGAATCGACTCGGGCACCCATCGGAGTCGACGCCCTCGACAGTGACGCTGCGCGTACCACCCGGACCGTGACGTGCGAGGAAGGCCGTGAGCAGGTCTTTCGGGCCCCCGTTGAAGTCGTCGCCGCAGTCGACGTAGCGGCTTTCGAGGAGGGACGTCACGCGGGAGACCGACGCGTGAATCGTTGACATGTCCAGCTGCGGGAAGGGGTTTGAGAATACAGGTAAGACAACAATGGTTCGTCAGTAGCGGTTTAGGAACACCATGTGACGAAACTTACCTCGCGGCTCTGGAAAGTCTTGTTGAGAATGTTCATCTGCTCAACAACATCAGCAAGAAACATGAGCACAAACCAAAACCTGTAGCTCGAGACAATCTTGTATAGACGGTCGTCGGCAAACTCGGACAGCATGACGACGATGGCTGGCAAGACCTTCACCAGCCGTCGGATGGCCTCGCCGCGTGAGAGCCATCTGACTTGGTGAATACCCTGCAGCTCCAAGCACGTCGAGAGGAAGACGTCTTGGAGGTCGAGGAAGCGCTGGTGCCACGGTCCTGAACGACCAAGGAACTCGGCCAGTTCCTTGATGACATCATCGATGATGTTGAAGAATGGCATGTCCTCCGCCGCCGCCTTAGCTGCCAGCACCTCTCTGCACATGGAAAAGAACATGGGGAGAAATCAAACAAACCACCATGAGTGATAGCTAGTATTGTCCCGAATCACCATATGTGCAAATGCGAAAAAAACAAAAAAAAACAAAAAACAAAAAAAAACCAAAAAAAAAAACAAAAAAAAAACCGGTGAGCGATGCAGTGACAGGAGACCAAGTGAGGGATACGCATCCGGAGTCGAGTCAATAGGCCGGATTTCGAGCCCATCATCACCGCCGCCCCGTCTGTGCTGATGCCCGAGATGCGGCGGAGATCGACACCAATTGCTTGCAGGTGGGAGAGCAGCAGAGCGAGCAGAGAAGAGGCATCCGCCTTGTCAACGCTGAGCAGCGCCAGGTACCCCGTGACGACGCGGAGGTCCCGGATGAAAGTGCAGAAGACTATCATGTGCTTTCCTCTGCAACGGTCCGTGCTCTCGTCGAGGCTAAGTCCGATGAACGGGCTCCGCAGGAGGTGCTCCAGCTGGGTGGTGTGCAGCCAGGTCGCGGTGGATTGCGTGAACTCCCCGAAACCGTACCTGCGTTTAATAACATAAAAAATCTCATCATTAGTGGTTTATAAGGATGGAAGGTAAGAATACGAAGCTTAAAAGTCTAAAGGAATTTAGGCCTTACGAGTTCATGTATGTCCCATATCCGCCCTCGGGGAAGTTCTTGAACTTCCGCGACGCAAGGTGGTTGGTGATCGTGACCCATGTGTCCATGGGTTCGTTGGTCTTGCAACATGTGTACAGCAGGTCGAGAAGCACAGTCACTCGCTCCCTCTCCAAATCCGCGGCGTGCGGGTTCTGATCGATTCGCGTCTGGGTAGTAGCTTCATGTAGCAGAACGTTTTGCTTCCCGAACGCGAGGCGGTGCTTTCCGGTACCAGCGTGCCTGTTGAACGCCTGTGTTTGTGCGTCTGTGATTCCTGGCCCACGACGACCAGTCCTTCCAGAGAGTCCTGCATGCTCCAGACAGATGGTACACTTAAAGGCAGGGCGCCCATCGTTAGCTTTACACAAAAGGAGCCAGGGAAACTGCTCCTGCCACCTCGACTTGTAACGGGAAAGAGCCTCAGCGTAAAGCTCGGAAGGACTTAGAGACTTCCTGGAGGTTGAAGGTGTATCGTCTTTAGACGGCTCTTCATCGCCATCAGCAGGTATCGACGCCGGCGGCTCGATAGCTCCCGGATTCGGCTTCGCGAACGGTAACTTGGCCTGGCGATAGCCACCTTGGCGCTTGGGAGTAGTCATCGCAGTAGCAGGGCGATCGACGGCGGCTGGTGGCGACGGACCGGGTCCAATACTCTGCCCAAGAAGAATGACTACATCGGAAATTGAGTCGGCTATTTCCTTTCTTGCAGGTTCCTTTCTCTAGGCGCAGCATCGGCTCTAATCGGGATGCGGGTGAGGCTAGACAATGTCGAGAGGAGCAAGTCGAGCCCCGTGCACAGGTCTGCACGAGGAATGCTACCACCGTCATCGCCTTCTGGATCACCGTCGCTAGGTGCTGCCATCGCGCGATGGCAACGGTAAGAAAACCAGTCACAACCATGGAGGATAAATGGAATGACGAGGGTAGAAGCACCCGACTTGAACGAGGCAGCAGGTGTGGCAGCACAGCATTGATTGAAGAGATCGATGAAGAGGATGGGGTCTCTTGAGGTTTGTGGAGAGCATGCGGCTCGGAACAGCCTTCTGCATGCATGCATGTGGTTCACGAAGCGGGTGGGTAGCGGTCTACTGCCGTGCTGGTGGGCCAACTGTCTAACATTGTACCTGGTCTATCGGATGCTGTAGCTGAAATTTGGCAATGAGCCAATCCAAACCCTGCAACCACGCTCTGCTGGAGACAGCAGTGGCTGACTACTTTCGAACAGCCAATGAGACCCCGCCGAGCACTATGTGCTGGAGGAAATTTGGCAGAATATTCTCCAGCGCGGCTGGAATCTGGTCGGTCACACTCAAGTCTGCGTCATTGACAGGGACGGTGGGGGGGGATTCACGGAAATCACGGGGTGGGGGAGTTGGGGCTGGGAATCCGCTATTAGAAGAATCAGGGTCGGGCTTCGATACGACGCTGGAAAAACAGGCCACACTACACTACGCACGCTGATGGATCAGAGTTCACTCTTAAAAAAACCCTGAAATTTCAGGCCTCTGTCTTAAAAAACTCCTGTCTCATCAGGGTCACCCCCCAAAAAAGCCCTGATTTTACCTTGAATCAGGGTAAAAAGCCTGCAATCTGAGGCCCTAGTTTAGGGTGATGCGAGAGGAGAATGACAAGGCAAGAGGCGAGCGGCTCTCACTGGAGGAGAGGCGACGCGATAAGAGAGGCTTTGCGGTAGGAGAGAGGGGACGCGAAGGAATGTAGTGACTCGAAAAGAGAGGCTTCGCGGTATGATAGAGTGAGACGAGGCGAGGGGAGAGTGTCTTGAACTGAGCTAACAAGAAAGGAGAAGGCCGCCATGGAATGGCGGCCAAGGTTTAGCTAGGGAAGATTATCGAGAGAGAAGAGTGTCGACTAGAAGAGAATGAGGTACAAGAAGGGGGTTATCCTCTCTACAGTAGGATACAGTTAGTAGCATAACTACCAAGCCTACAATTATATAAAATATAATTTTAACAGAGAGACATGAGGTGAGAGGAGAGAAGTAAGGCGTGAGGAGACAGGCGACGCGAGAGGACAGAGGCGACGCAAGAGGAGATGGGCGGATCAAAATTCGAGAGGCAACACCAGAGGAAATAGCGACACGCGGTGTGAAGAGAGAGGTAAGGCGAGAGGATAGGCGATGTGTGAGGAGACAGTCGACGCGGGAGGACAGAGGCTAGGCGAGACGAGAGCGGCGACGAGACAGGGGAGAGATGACGCCAGAGGAGAGGAGCGAGGCGTATGGTAGAGGCGTGGCGAGAGAAGTGAGCAACACGCGAAAGGCACGGGCTAGACATGGCTGAAAGCGGCAGCGCAAGAGGAGGTAGGCGAGGGGAGGGGATAAAGGCGAGGAGGGAGGAGAGAGGTGGCGGGAGGTGAGACAGGAGACGCGGGAGGATAGAGGCGACACGAGAGGAGAGAGGCGCCTAAAGAGTGGAGAGCGGCGAGGGGGGATGAGGGGAAGCACCGCGAGATAGGAGGAGGGTTGAGAAGGGGAGCAATGCAACATACGAAGCGAAGTGGGAGGGGAAGCCACGCGGGATAGGAAGCGTGGCAAAGAGGGGAGGCGAGGCAGAAGGGGAGGCGTGGCGGAGAGGGGAGGTGTGGCGGAGAGGGGAGGCGTGGTGGAGAGGGGAGGCGAGGCAGAGAGGGGAGGCGAGGCGAAGAGGGGAGGCATGGCGGAGAGGGAAGGCGAGGCTGAGAGGGGAGGCGAGGCAAAGAGGGGAGGCGAGGCGGAGAGGGGAGGCGAGGCAGAAGGGGAGGCGTGGCGGAGAGGGGAGGCGTGGCAGAGTGGG